ATAATTAATAGGAAACATATAAAACAAAATATTTTCTATCCGGTCATTTAATAACTACAAAAGTTGATGAACTACTTTCAGATGAATGATGATTAATTATGAAATAATCTTGGATAATATCAAAACTATAACAATCTAATTCTAATTATTTCCTAATAATTAAAATTAAAACATCATATTGACTAATGCAGAAATCTCATTGTTTTATTGCACTTCTAATTAACCTCATTTTATCTTCGATATTAAACACTAATGAGAAAACGAGAATAACACGAAGCATAAACTCACCCATTTGTAAGATGTTAATATCCGATCGTGAATAGAATCAACTTGAACGATGAGTGTAATTAATTGTTTGAGACGACCATCAAGTAAAGCCTGAACATCATCAAAATTTTTTACATTGATACATAATTTAGTAAGTGTCGAAGAAAAAAAAGTCGTTGGTGATAAATCACACAACGATAAACGTGGATAATTGTCCATAGATGATGACTCAACAATAGTCAAATGCTTTAAGTTTTTAAAGAAAGCTAAGATAACTACATAAACATTCTTAGTATATGCTTCTTTTTCTATTTCAATATTGTTTTCATTAATGATAAGAATGAGATTTGTAATTTGTTGTTTAAAAATATGTCCAAAGAGAGAATCATCTAAACAAAAAACATAAATATTGTTAAAAAATGTGATCATTTCAATATTTTTGTATGCTTATCTTTTAAAACATCAATATACATAAATATCTTACCCATAAAATACTGTGAAACAATTGCTTTGTTGAAATTAAAAAGTTTAAGTTCAGTAAGATTAGGATAGTTACTAGCACGAAGAATACATTCCATCGAAATGGAATCAACAATGAGAGATTTGACATTTTTATGAATAATTGGTAATATTGAAGTACAAAATCTATTGAGTATTGTTGAAAAAATCTCATCAGTTGATTGTGATATGGAAACAAAATTAAGGATGTTAGTGAAGATTTGTTCTTGTGCTATAATATGAAGTCGTTGATTGTTGATACCCAATAAAGAATAAAGAACATGAATATTGTCAAGTTTTTTCAAAATGAAAAATAATATTTCATTAGGTAGATCAAGAAGATGAACATTATGCTGATTCATGTTTAAATGTGGTTGCAACGCCTATCGTAACACGATATATATACTTATCTACTGATTCTTTGTTCATAAATACTCTCCTCATTGGAGAAAGAAGGTTGACCTTTTTTGTTAAGTGAAGAAATAAAATATTTTTGTATAGTCGAATATCTTCACAGACGAATGTTTCTCTTTTGTTTCGTTTATTTATTTCTATATTAAGGTGATTTCATTTAAGATATCTCACGAATTTGAGAAGCAAAAGAATTACTTGATATGCTTCTATTATTCTATAGTATTTCTATGTACAAAGATTACTTTTTTCTTATATTTTTTCAATAAAATTATTTTTTTTTAAATTAGTCATTTTGATAAAGTTTCAATCAGTAGACGTTCTCAAACAGTTGAGATATTACTTCGATGTAAGAAAATCAGTTTGTTAAATGTATATATTTATTTGTTATATATTAAATTAGTAACGACAAGTGAAATGTCAGAAGGTCAATGAACAATTCATATTCGTCTTTCAGTTGATGATCGACATTTTCATTTAAATATTGTTAAAATGCTTTCATCTCTTCTTGCTGAATATATTATTCAATTTGATAATGATCAATCAAATAAATCATCAGATTTTCATATGCTTGCACCAAAACTATATTTGTTCATTTAATTAAAAGAATTTTATTTTTTTGTTATAGAAAGGTTAAAAAGTTAAAGAAATAGAAAGTAGTGGAAAAACTATTTTAATATCTGATGTATTAAGAGATAAATGTTTAAAAGATCTTTATGATATTCTTCGATCACATATTAAACCATTATGGAATTCATCAATCATCGATGAACAGTTTATTAAGTAAAAAATTATTTTTTCTTTTTTTTAAATATTTACTAAAATCGATATACTCTTTATAGATGTGTAACTAAACGATGTTATCATTTACTTCGTCGACAAGATATTGCTAAAAATTCTATTGTTAAAGACAATCTTTCATTAATACTTACTATAATGATTAATAAATTGGAACATGTATGAGGTAAATTAAAAAAAATAATTTTCTTATTCGAATTTTATTTTCTATAGTTCAGAAGCTTCTATTCAATTTATTCAAGCAGCAAAACCGTATGATAGTAATTCAAGTTTACTTATTACTGTTCTTAATTCACTTTTGACTAATTATCAAGATACATCATTGTCTATTGAATTATTGAAGTTTGTTTTATTTATTAATTTTTCTTTTTTTTTTCAAATATTTATTTTTAATTTAGAGAAATTTGTTTCACAAATTTCATTGCAACACAAGCTGATAATGCAGCTGCTAAAACAATGAGAACATTTATTATTGATATGACTAGACTTGATCCACATATTATTCGAACATATATTGATCAAACAACTGATTTATTAACATCAGAAGTAAATTTCAAGAGAAAATAAATCGATTATTACTTAGCTAGCAAGTCATAGATGTGAGGAAGATGAGTTTGCACAGAAAAGCGAAAGATGATCGAAAATTTTCTAATAAATGAACAAAAGCTATTTTTTTTAACAGAAATCTCGACCTCTCAAGTGTAAAGACGAAATTGACGCTAATGTTATACGAAACTAATGATTCAGACAAATACTAAAAAAAAGTAGCAGTTTAGAAATTATGGGCAAGTCTTTCTAATTGTTATAGTAACGTTTGCTACCTGGAGGACGAGGTTGTAGATACATCCTCAACATCGACAATCTTACCACAGCAGTTAGAAGGACTTACTCATAATTTCAGAACTGGTTTTTTTTTGTATCTGTCTAACTTATTGGTTACCTGTAATATTAGTATATTAAAATAGTTAGTGCCAATTTCGACAGTGTTTTATCCAGGTTTTCCCTCAGAGGAGCAAATAAAAATTTTGAGAGGACAAACACACAGTATACGGCTTAGCAATTATGAAATCTAGGAGAACCATCTGTCCTTGGAACAGCGCGTCCTCTTGGCCCCTACGTTAGATAAAACACTGAGTTTCGTCTGTGCACCTGAGAATTCGAGCTTCTGTTTAAAAAAAAGCTTTTTTTCTTTTATTAAAAAATTTTGGTTCGACCATTTTTCGTAGATTCGATTGCCTTCTACATTGAGAACATTCGAAAAAATCTATATTCCGTTTTTCCAATAGGTTTCCAGATTCGTCTTGTCTAAAATTTTCAACGATATTGCGAAGAAATTTTTACAAATATTATATCTCTATGAATCGATTTACACTTCTACTTATCTTCATCTATTCAATCTTCAATTTTCTGTAAATATGACATGGATTAAAAATAAATCTAAAATATTTGTTTATTATAAAGTTATCATATTCGTGTTGCAGCTTTAACAGCATTTTGTTCTGTTATTGAAAAACTTCTTTTATCAGATGATTTAGATGATGGACAAAGAAAAATGCGTGATAATCTTTTACAAATATTACGTGTATGTTTTTATTTATTTTTAAATAAAATTTTTATTTTAAATTTTATTAGAAACATGTATCTGATGTAATAGCTTTTGTTCGTCAACATTGTTTACAATTATGAACATCAATTGTTCAACAAAAAAAGTTTCTATTTAGACAATATATTGAAACATTTGAACTTGATCTTTATCGATTAAGAGTTTCAACTTGTGCAGTTCGAAAAGATGCAGTAACACTTATTATGCATATGCTTCTTAATAATCCTTATTTTGTTATTGTATGTCTATTTAATTGAGAGGATTTTTATAAAGAATATATTTTATTATAGGATTCAACTCGAGCTCCATTTGAAGAAAGACAAACTGATGCTGAAACAAAATTAGATGAACTTTGTACAGAACTTGAAAAATTAAATAAAAATAACCATGAAGAAAAGAAAATTGAAAAAGAAAAACTTCAATTTGATGATGATGATGATGATGAAGATAAAAGTATTAATGATGAAAATGAAATAAAAGTTAATAATAATCAAGTAAATATCTTAATAAAAAAATTTGCAAATTGAATTTTATTTTATCAAATAGAATGAATAAAGTGAAAAAGATAATTCAAATGAAGATCAATCACTTGAAGACACTCTAAATCGAGTTAAAATTAAAGAACAATTGATACGAGTAGAAGAAATTGTTACTTTATATAAAGTAATTATTTTTAAGTAAACAAAAGAACAATCTTTAAGAAATTAATTTATTAGGATGGTCTTCGATTTATGGATTTGATTGAACAAGCAAATCGGCATGTTGTTTATTTATTTAATTCTTTTACATTAACTGATTGTAAACAAGTAGTAGATTTTTTTGTTAATCTTCGTCATTATCGTCTGGTTTTGCCAAATATTGAACAAAGTTTACGTTTAATGTTTAGTCTTATTTGGCCTCTTGATAAATCGATTTGTAAAGCAATTACACAAACTTTGGTTAAAATCTATTTTGATGTTACACCCATTGTTCTTCCACTGTATGTCAAATTCAATTTATCAAATTTATATCTAAATGAAAAAAATTATCTAAATCGTTGATTGACTCATATTTATCGGAGATCTAATCTGTGCTGAGCAAGTCTTGCCACAATATGTTAAACACAAGAAAGGGAAAAGCTACTATATCTGTAATTTTTCAATGCCGAGAATTTGAAAAAAAAA